GGGGGGTGCTGTGGAGGCAGGTCAGCAGCTTCCAGGGAGACAGGAGGGGGCAGGTTGAGGGCTGATGGTTAGACATGCAGGTGAAGGGAGAGAGAGCAGGAGGAGCCACCAGAGAGAGCAAGACAGAGTCACAGGATGAGGCTCGGGACAGCAGAAGCGGGTGGGGACAGCCGCTGGGCACACGTCGTCGGTCGGGCCCAGGTTCTGTGCGCACGGGGCTCTGCTTGCCCAGGCTGCTCCCGCAGCAGCTCCGTCGGTCGAAGCTGGAGCAGGTCCCAGCCCAGGGAGGGAGGAAGCAGAAGAGGAGGAGGCAGCTTCCCTGTGATCAGGTGGGCTCTGTGGCTCTGTGGGCTCATCTCGCCCATCTGCCCTGCCTCCCTGCAACCTTGGCAGACGACACCCTCTCCAAGCTTCAGTTCACGTATCAGCTAGTCATGCCACGTAACAAGCGGCCACAAGTTTAGCAGCATAAAGCACACCTATGTATCAGCTCACAGTTCTGTAGGTTGGAAGTCCCGGTGGGCTCAACTGGGCTCTCACAAGGTCGAAATCAAGGCATCGGCCAAGCTGGGACCTTCTCCAGGAGCTCTGGGAGCACCAGACGTCTCCACGCCTGCCTGGCATTCCTGGTGCCCATCCCGGGCCCTGGCATGCCGCTGGTTGCAGGGGGATTCCAACTTTGGAAAACAGGAATGCCTTTTGCCATTGTCTTAGGGCCAGACCCAGCCGAACCCCTCCCAGGGCCAATCCAGACTCTCATTCAGGCTCCACGTGGTCCTGAGCAGCCAAAGGGCACAGTCTCACTCTTTAATCCCCCAAACACAAGGCTCTGTCTGAAGGTGGGGTCTGCAGGGGCCCGGAAGGTTCTGGGAGGGGCATCGTGGGAGCTGAAGGGCTTTGACCTGCCTGAACCAGAGAGGGGTGTTCTGGCACCTTGTCTCCCTGAAGCTGGTGAACCTCCGGCCCTCAGGGAGCTGCAGGGACACAGGCGACAAACAATAAGACCATAAATCTGCCATGCAACATGTTCCAAGGTGAGAAATACTGTGGAAAAAGAGATAACAATATCGGGGTTTGGAGAGTGAGGTCAGAGGTTAGACCTGAGCAGGATCGGGGTTTGGGGAGTGAGGTCAGGGGTCAGGCCTTAAGTCAGCGTTGCTCAACTAGTGGTCATTCTGCCCCCACGGACACTGGGCAATGTCTGGGGGCATTTTTGATTGTCACACTGGGAGGGGCTGGTGCTAGTGGCATCTGGTGTGTAGAGGCCAGGATGCTGATGCTGCTGAATGTCCCAGAGTGTGCAGGACAGACCCTGTGATGGAGGCTCTTACCAAAGGGTCTGCAGAGCCCTAGCTGGTCTGGCTCAGTGGACAGAGCATTGGCCTGCAGACTGAAGGGTCCCGGGTTCGATTCCAGTCAAGGGCACATGCCCGGGTTGCAGGCTTGATCCCCATTGGGTGTGTCCAGGAGGCAGCTAATCGGTGATTCTCATCATTGATGTTTCTATCTCTCCCTCTCCCTTCCTCTCTGAAATCAATAAAAATATTTAAAAAAAAAAAAAAAAGGTCTGCAGAATGAGGTGGGGGAAGGGAGGACCATTGGGCTATAAACTCTGGGACACCACGAGTTCATGGGCGACTGCTGCCTGTGCACTAGGAGTCCTGGTGCTAATAATTCTGTAACTGGAGGAGGCATAAACCTGGGGTTTAGCCTTGAGGGAACCCCGTGACCCTAGGGGAGGGCCACCTGGAAACCCTCTAAGGATTTTCCCTTTATTTTTTTAATTTTTCTCCTGATCAATCCAGTGTATTTTTTAAATCTTTATTGTTGATATGGTATTACAGGTGTCCCCCTATTTCCCCCCATTGCCCCCCTCCAACGAGTGCCCACCCCACCCCAGGCCTTTGCCACCATATTGTGTTTGTGTGTGCTTGTGTGCATGTGTAACATTTATTTTAAATATTTATTGTTGAGAGTATTACAGATGTCCCCTTTCCCTCCATTACCCATCTCCACCTGGTTCCTGTTCCACCCCAGGACTTCGCCACATATTGTTTGTGTCCATAGGTAATGCATATATGCATATAATTTTTTGGTTATTCTCTTCCCACCCACCCCCTTCCCTCTGAGATTCCTCAGTCTATTCCATGTTTCCCAGCCTCTGGTTCTGTTTTATTCACCAGTTTATTTTGTTCATTAGACTCCTTGTTAGTTTATTTTCATTTTTAGATTCAATTATTGATAGATATGTATTTATTCCTATTTTATTGTTCATATTTTTAATATATTTTTATTGATTTCAGAGAGAAAGGGAGAGGAAGATATAGAAACATCAATGATGAGAGAGAATCATTGATCGGCTGCCTCCTGCATTTCCCCTACTGGGGATTAAGCCTGCAACCTGGGCATGTGCCCTTGACCAGAATCAAACCCAGGACCCTTTAGTTCCCAGGCAGATGCTGTATCCACTGAGCCAAACCAGCTAGGGCTTCATATTTTTTATATTTTTTTATCTTCTTCTCCTTCTCCTCCTTCTTCTCCTTCTTCTTCTTTCTCCTCCTCCTCCTCCTCCTCCTCTTCTTAAAGAATACACTTAAACATTTCATGTAATACTGCTTTGGTGGTGATGAACTCCTTTAGCTTTTTCTTGTCTGGGAAGCTCTTTATCTGACCTTCAATTCTAAATGATGACTTTGCTGGGTAGAGTAATCTTGGTTGTAGGTCCTTGCTATTCATCACTTTGAATATTTCTTGCCACTCCCTTCCGCCCTGCAAAGTTTCTGTTGAGAAATCAGCTGACAGTCGTATTGGTGCTCCCTTGTAGGTAACTAACTGCTTCTCTCTTGTTGCTTCTAAGATTCTTTCTTTGTCTTTAACCCTTGATATTTGAATTATGATGTGTCTTGGTATAGGCCTCTTTGGATTCCTCTTGTTTGGGACTCTCTGAGCTTCCTGGACTTGTAAGTCTTTTTCTTTTACCAGGTAGGGGAAATTTTCTGTCATTATTTCTTCGAATAAGTTTTCAATGTCTTGCTCTCTCTCTTCTCCTTCTGGCACCCCCATAATATGATTGTTGGTACACTTGAAGTTGTTCCAGAGGCTCTTTATACTACCTTCATATTTTTGGATTATTTTTTCTTTTTGCTCTTGTGCTTGGGTGTTTTTTGCTTCCTCATATTCCAAATTGTTGATTTGATTCTCAGAATCTTCTACTTTACTGTTGAACCCCTGAAATTATTCTTATTTAGTTAGCGTATGCTTAATTTCTGACTTCCTTTTTCATGTCTTTGATGTTCTCACTAAGATTCTTGATAGTCTCACTAAGTCCCTTGAAGCTCTCATTAAGACCCTTGAGCAACTTAGAAACATTGTTTTGAACCCTGTATCTAGTAGTTTGCTTGCTTTTATTTCATTTAGGTTTTTTTCTGGAGATTTCTTCTGTTTTTCATTTGTGACATGTTTCTTTGTCTCAGCATTTTGGCTGCTTCCCTGTGTTTGTTTCTATGTATTAGGTAGATCTCTTATGTCTCCTGGAATTGCTAGAATGGCCTTGTGTAGTAGGTGTCCTATAGGGCCCAGTGGCTTAGCCTCTCCAGTCACCAGAGCTGGGCACTGTAGGTATGTCCCTGTGTGGGCTGTGTGCACCACCTTGTTATAGTTGAGTCTGGATTGCTGTTGGCGTCACTGGGAGGAATTAACCTCTAGGCCAAGTGGCTGTGAGGACCACCTGTGTCTACAGTGGAAGAGCTGCTATTCAGGTGACACCCCTATGGAGCAGGACTTGCTTCAGTGGGGCTTTGGTGCTCATTGAGTCTGCCCCTGGAGTGTGTCGCTTGTGGATGTATAGAGCTGTAACCTGGTATGGCCTGAAGCTGTGCACCAGCTCTGGGGCCTCCTGGGAGGTGCAAAGTCAGCCACTGCCTGGGGCCACCCCTTAGGAGCTACAGAGGGATCTGCAGATGCTGCTACTTGAATTGGGCTTGGAAGTGCCCAAGTGAGGCCCAGCTGTGAAGCAAGGTGGGCTGGGCCTCTTATTGATAGGTTTGGGGCACACTGACACCAGCTGAAGCTTGTTTGAGAGGTTTTAGGAAAGTCTGAAGCCTGAGCCAGGACATGCCATTCATATGGAAAACTGGATGGGGTGGGGTCTCCAGGGCAGAGGGAACAGTGTGGGCCATGCTGATGGAAACTCAGATATGGCTGCCAGTCAGTTCTGTGGTGGGAGAGGTCTCAGCATAGGAACAATGACCCCTGTGAGCACCCCCCTGTCTGTGAGAAAGCCACCCCCCGAGTTTCTGCTCCGATGACAGACAATTTCGTCCCTCCCCCTATGTCCCTGGATTCAGAGGGATTGAGTCCGAGTAAGTCCATGTGCCAGCCCTTTAAGAGATACTGCTGGGAACCCAGCAGCCTCCGTGTCACTCAGCCACAGTCCCTGCTAGTTTTTACAGCCCGAAGTTATGGGGACTTCTCTTCCCAGCTCTGGAACCCTGGGCTGGGGGTCTGGTGTGGGGCTGGGACCCCTTGCTCTTCACGGGTGGCCTCTGCAGCCTAGATATCCCTCCCGATGTAAAAAACACCACGTGAGTGTCGGACCAGCCCATTCCGCGCCTCCACCCCTCCTACCAGTCTCCATGTGCTTTCTTCTTTACTTCCCTAGTTGTAGGACTTCTGTTCAGCCTAGTTTCAGGCAGTTCTGAATGATGGTGGTTCTGCATTTTAGCTGTAATTTTGATGTCGTTGTGGGAGGCGGCGAGTACCAGCGTTTACCTACACCACCATCTTGGCTCTTATCCGGATTTTCCCTTTGTTTAAATGTGAATGACAATCCTGAAGGCCAAGCTTCCCAGCAAATCGAAGCAGAATTCACTGGTTCTCAACCGGGGCGATCTTCTCCCCCCAGGGGACAACTTGGCAATGTCTGGGGACACGTTTGGTTGTCAGGACTTGGGAAAGGAGGTGCTACTGGCATCTAGTGGGTGCTGCTCATCATCCCACAATGCACAGGACCACCCCACAGTCACTGACCCCACAATCACACGTGGGGGTGGACAGTGCTGACTGAGGCCCAGGAGCCCTGCCCTGACTCAGAGCAGGTGTCTTAGTCAGCGCAAGTGGCTATCCTCCTATATAATAAAGAGGTGATATGCAAATTGATCCTCACGCCATAACACCGTCACAAGATGGCGGCACGCACAGTGGGGGCGGGGCCAGCGGCCGCTCCTCACGGCTTCCGGCGGGGTTTCCACAGCCCCCCATGCACACCTCGGGGGG